TTAAAATAAACAAATATGAATTTGATTTTACTTTAACATTTTGTGAATTATTGTGCTAACATTTAAAATCATCACTATAGGATATTGTAAAACTTTAAATGAATCCAGTTTTTGTTTATTTAAATTTAAGCAAAAAATTTACACTCCACTGCAGCCTGGGGATAATTTAAGAGATTTCTTATAAGTTAATTATTTCCAATAAGTTTTGCAATTTAAAAAAATATTCTATTTTTTTGTAATATTTGCAGATATTTATTACATTCTTTTTTTTGATTATTCCCACAAGTTAGCTCATTCTTTCCCCTTTCCTGAGAATGAGGATACAAATTTCACCCCCATGTGTAATGATGAGGAGTAAGGATCGCATTACTTTTTACTGAAAGAATAAATCCACTGAACCTAAACACAAAACAAGATCGACATTAATATGTTGTTTTTGCATTCTTAACAAATATTTTACAACAATGGCAAAAGTATTGCATTCTAAAGCTGGCACAAGTGCTGCATGGTGTTATGTGTTTATTATGATTTTTATTCTTTTTAAAATGACATTAACTGTTTCTGAATGAAGGCATATCCTTACAGAAACACACCCACACACACACACACACCTCTCTGGTTGTGCTCAACCTCTGTAGAAGATTTATAATTTGTGCAAATAAACTCCAAAATGTTTAAGGTCATCGTTTAGCATCAGTTGCTTTTGTCCTCTAAAACCTTTCTTTTATTCCTCCCTTTTTTTTACACCAGCAGCGGCTGGTAATAAATTCTCAGTTTTTCATTTTCTGCAGTCCTTTAAACACATTTGGAAATTATTTCTCAATCTCCTCGCTGATGACACCCTGTGATGATGATGATGGCTATCAGTGTTTCTCAAACGAGACCTTGAAGGGCCTCCATTTCCAAAACTCCTCCACGTACCTGACAGCTGTATGTATATGTGCTATCATCCCTGCTCTCCAAGGAGGCGCCGGAGCCAATGTGCACCTGACATTTGGAAGTGAGAACGACTCCGGAAGGGAGTTTGATAAGAGCGTTAAACTGGTCAGACATTCCATGAAACACAGTTTTGATGCTGCAAGATGTTTCTGGTAGATTTTGCCTGTAAATTGAGGGTATGAATGAGCTGTCAACAAAGCTTTTGATGGTGGGCCGCATGAAATGCAAGTGGAGGTGAAGCCATTCTTTTCTCTTTTCAATAGCCATAGTTATGGCGCACTAATAGGCTATGCTAGGTAATCACTGGCTATTGTGCCTGTTGCTGCTCTCAGTTTATTGGGRGGAGGAGGAGGAGGAGGAGGAGGAGGGGTRCCTCTTTTTGTAAGGTTATATCAGACAGGCATGGCACTGTAATTGGTGCTGGCATCATCATTTCTGTCTGGAAAGTTTAGGGGGCTGTAGGCACAGAGTGTGATGTTTTCTTCCTGTATTTAGCTGGAAAAGCTGCTTAAAGGATGGGATCCATGGCCACGCATGTTCAGCTTACAAACACAGCAATGCATGCATCATATAAAAGTCCCTCTGTTATTCAAAGCAGATGTTTCCATCAGGTCTGGAAGAGGTCTATCATGCTTCAAGACAGTCAACAGAAAAGCATGGAGCAGAGGAGACTGTGTTTAACTAGTGTAAAGGATTTCTTTGGCAATTCTTTTCAGGTAATTGCAGGTTGCACTGGATAATGTGGATGTAGAAGGAAACCTTGTTCCAGCCCCCTACCCCCGCCCCACCACACACACACACACCATTCCTCCCCGCCTCAACTCCCTTCCTCCCCATTATTCTACTTAATATGTCAGAAGGTCTGATCGCAGAGAAACCTTTTCAAGTCCCATTGATGTGTTCCTCAATTGACCATGGCGACCTAGAGCGCGCTAATTGGCAAGAGCTTCACATTATTAGCTGCACAGTCTACACAGAAACATATATATATATATATATATATATA